TTCCTTCCTTCCTTCCTTCCTTCCTTCCTTCCTTCCTTCCTTCCTTCCTTCCTTCCTTCCTTCCAACTTTTATAATATCTGCATATTTTCTTTTATTTCCACATAATATCTGAATTTCCATACCTATGAGTATTGGGTTAAATCTAGTGAACTCAATGCAACTTGTTTTTGAAAAGTCATGTCTATGATTACAACATAATTTGTTTGGATATCAACTGTTCCCTAAGTCTAAATTATGCACACACACACAACACATTAACTGATATATACATAAGCTGTCATTGACACCTATCTCTACACACCCTGATCTACTCTGGCAGGTGGAAGGGGAAGATGAAATCATGATGTAGGTGAATCTATTTTAATTGTCAACCCAATGGACCAACCAGCTGCTCTGGTATAATTCAGCATTAAAAAAAATGCATTGGGGAAAGTTAAGTACAGCAGAACACTATTTTAATGGACTAAGTGGAGGAAGGAGCTGTTCATTATTCTCCAAAGTCTGGTAAATCAAAAAGATCATTATCAGGGTGACACCAATAACATCAGTTGTGTTGTTTATGTCATTTGTATGATAATACCATTACACAAAAGATGAAATTGAAGCCAACAACATGTGCATAAATTGCAGACTATATCCAAAGTCTGTTGAATCAAGGTCTGGGAAATTGAGGTTTCACTGTACCCCCTTTCTCAGCCATGCTATTTCTGCTTAACCCCCACTTCTTCTTTTAATAAAATAATGCATTAAAGGAGCTCAGTTGGGATGCCTCAAAAAGTAAACACTTTTCTTTTTCATTACTAGTTTTCTGGCATAAAAACCTGCTCTATGCCAGGTGGCTGCATTTAGCATCTATCTGATTTCCCAGAATGCATCTGAGGTATTATTGCTGCAAGGCATTATGGGAAATGAAAAAGGTGGACAGGCCTATCCATTCTGCAATGCCTGGAGCTGTGTCATTTCCACTTGGTATGGTTGCCTGAAAAAAAAAAGGCCCATGAGAAGACAGAGCGTGAGTTCTTGTCCCGCCTTAGGCATGAAGCCGTCTGGGTGACCTTAGGCCAGTCACTCTTTCTCAGCCCCAGGAAGGAGGCAACGGCAAACCACTTCTGAAATCTTGCCAAGAAAACTGCAGGGACGTGTCCAGGCAGTTGCCAGGAGTCAAGACTGACTTGAAGGCACGCACGCGCACACACACACACCCCATATACACACAAGAAGACACATTCCCCAAAGACCCAAGAGACATGGAGAGACATAGGACAGATTCAAACAATATCTCCAAAGTATGCACACATGCCAAGTGCAATATTTTGGTTTCTGTACTGATCCTTCACTTTTGAGTGCTTTGCAATCAAACTAGGTCTTTGCTTCTCTACATCACAAATTATCAGTGATTATTTTTTTTTACCTTAAATGATTCCAAGAATCCACCATGGCCACCATTCTCCAGCTTATCTTCCTCAGAACCCAGGCCCAACATCAGCTGTGTGTGGATGTGGAGTTCATCGTGCAAATTGTCCAACAAGGCAGCACGTGTTCGATCCTAGAAACAACGTTATGGGGTCTCAACTCATGGTTCTAAAATGGCCTTCCAAGTCTGGTGAAGGCTCAACACATTCAGGGAATCCAACCATTACTTTAACACATTACATGGACCAGGACATCACATTAAACCATGATGTGGTTTATTTCTTCAGGCATCTCATGTTATACCATCAGTTTTTTGGTTCAGCTAACCTGGGTTTAGGGTTTTGCATGATTCTATGATTCCAATTGGTTGCTCTGATGGCCATAAAGCTGTCCAAATTCAGCTGACCTGAACCTGCTTGGAAAAAAAACAACTCTTTCTTTCCTCCCAACATACTGTAAGGAGGTTAAAAAAACCTTATACAATATAGAAATGTATCTCAATACCTCTGCTGTTATGTATGTCAAGATACCAGACTACACAGACAGTGATTCTGCTTCCTGGAGTAGCAAAAACAATGTGCATAATAGAAGTTCTGCAGTTGCCACAACTAACCACAGGCCCCATCTCTTCGAAAATATAAAAAAAGTAGGGTATCTTCTCACTCCCAGCCTGAATTCCCTCATCCACAACCAGAACTGCCAGTTAATCTATAGTAGTGTTTCTCAACCTTGGCATTTTTAAGTTGAGTGGTCTTCAATTCATCTTAAAGTTGCCAAGGTTGGGAAACACTGATCTATAGTATTGCTATCTATGGTGCTACCTTAGGCTCTTTCATATGTATCAAAGCCCCATGTGTATCAAAACCCCACACCTTCCTCTTTGGATC